GTGAATTATTGATGGCCAGCTTGAGAAAAATAAATAAAACAAATGAGTCTATGGGAAAGAGATAAGGGAAAACACTGAAGTCACAGTATAGTTTTCAGACAGATGAAAACCTCAGAGACATAGAAAGGTTGGGTGGCGCTGATGAGGAAGCAGACTGTGTGGCCACCCTAGGCCACAAGATAAGACCAAAGCTCCCACAATCCTGAAACCCAGTTGGAGGACCCCCTTTGAAAATGACTCCAGAGAGTGAGGTTAGCATTGGACGAGTCCACCTTAACTCTCTGTATTCTTCATGTGGGTACTCAGACCCCATCTCGAAAGGTTGCCTATTAATTCAAACTGAGTTTCTTTGGGGGATTGAAAGAAGAAATAAGGACAAATGGGTGAGCATGAGGTGCCTGGGTGAGAAACAACTGCATCAAGCAGTCACAGAAAAGAGGAGGGCTGGACATCAAAGACTGAGAATTCCAAGTGTCTGGGAACAGCACAATAACTGCCAAGCACAGAGATTGCCACCTTTGGTTTTCAAGATGGCCTCATGACTAAGTCATCACTCTAGACACCACCACTGGAAGCCATGGCAGTCCCCTCCTCACCCTGGTTCTCTGGGCTAGTTGGGGAAGTTGACTTTTCTTTCTCCACGTGCCTCCCAGCCTGCCCCTTTGACCGAAGAAGGTCAAGAATTTCTTCATTGTGGAAATATCTACCCCTCCTCCCCCATGCCCCTGCCCCCCACCGTGGGCTTTTGTCCCCCCTCAGGGAGAACACAGTGATACTGATAGGAAAAAAACAGCAAGTAAGTTTTGCCACCAGCACCCACGACCACGACAAAGCATCTACGGGAAGCCCTGTAGGGTAGAATCCCAGTAGCACAGGTATTCCATCCCACCATCACCTAGCAAAGCTTTTAAAACAGTCAGTCCTACCATTGGGACAGCCTAAGTCAGAGAACTCTGACAGTTCAGGCATTCTAAGCATGCTTACTACATATGCAAAAAACCTGATCCTTGAACTCCGCCTACTATCTCAGCCTATTGTTGCCTTCAAACAACAGAGGCATTGAATAGCCAAGCAGCATTTGCTTAGGAACCCTTGAGTCTGCACAGGTTGAGTCTCCAAGAACACTTTCCTAAAGCCTGCCAGTCACATTACCCTTTGCCTGACTTTCCTTCTGAGGCAAATGCCACCTAACCCCCACTGCTATCTACAAGGGTGAGGTGGGGGTGGGGGATTAGCACCACCAGGCACAGAAGATGACTTTAGTGACTCCAGAAGCAGTGGCAAGAGTTACTTCTTTGCAACTTTCTCAGTGGAAACGTGCACCAGAGGACATGTGAATCATTTCATCGAAATGTTTCATCGTGGCCGTGCCTGATGACACACAAAACCATCATGCCCCATGTTGCCTGCCCCATTTTCTGCCCTGTGGCCCAGTTTTGCCTTCCCTATTCCTTGCTGTCAGATGAGTCTCCTTCAGTTAGGAACCTTATGTAACATTTTATTTTTTTAATCCTTTAGCCCTCATGGGTCCTAGAACTCCTTTTGTTCTTTTGTTAATTATGTCAGTTTGAAGTTTGCTTGAAGTTTGCCTGAACATGAGCCTAGAAAGGAGTCAGTAAACAGTGGTCATCTTCCACAGTCTCTGCCTGACTTCCTACCATAAGCTTCCTATCTTTGGCTCATGCTTTGGCTTCCAGTATAAACAGAAATGACCCCTTTCCTCCTCCAAGTTAGATATTGTAATGTTGTCAGGTCATTCATTGTCTCTGGAACACCACTGTTGGTAAGAACCGGGGCATTTCTCCTGCTACAAAACATAAATAAAGGGAAATTGGAAAAATATCCAAATGTACATTTATTGTAGTGATAGGTTATGACAGTATATTGTTTGGATGCACCCTAGCTGCTACAACATTTAAGAAATACAGTGCAATATCAGTTGTTTCTGCATAGGAGCCTCGGAATTCCCTAGTAACAGATTTTGCCCACGTTCCCAATGTCAGATATGAATTTTCCCTTGTAGAGTGGACCTCAGATCACATCAGAAAGTTGGCTCTGTGCATGACTAACTACTCTGTGCCACTGTTGCCTGAGCTGGCAGATCTCTCCTTATACTTCCATTATGAAACATGCAAGATTTGCAACCCAGTAGGAATTTTACCTTAACTCTCCTGGACAGTCTTAGTATCAATTTATGATACACATGAGATAGTTCATAGGGTGGAGACAAGCTTTATTTACCCAAGTCCTGCAGCCAAAGCATATGATGCATTCAGCAATAGGATCTTATGATCTAGCTCTGAAAAAAACACCCAAGAGCAGTGGCATTGGTCTTTATTGTTTTAGGGTCTTCTGTGACCTCTGATCAAAAGCTCTAAGGGGGTGACCCACACAAGCACTGGCAGGTGACCCCTCTAGCACTTGGAGTAACAACCTTAAACCTTCTGGGAGCATCTGTTTGCATTCTTCACAAGTTATCTTTGTTCATTCCTTAGCATGTACAGGCCCAAGCTGTTGTAGAATTCTCCTAAACACCTTAGTTGCTATCACTTGTGCCTTATCCAACCACAAAGTACACAGCAAATCTGACCTTTGTATCCTCTGTGAACTAAGCTCCCATGCTTGATCTTCTGGATGCAACTCTTAAATGGGTTTCCAGATCTGCAAAACACTCAGAAGTTAGTGACTTGCCATCTATGTAGCAAAACCTTTTACAGAGACAGGATAGCACAATGTCCTGAACCACCATCCCATAATGAATAGCAAAATTACAAATATAACCTTGGCAAAGCAAAGCACTTTGAAGGTCTATTGTTCAGAGCAAGTGTCAGGCAATCACATAAGTTCAAAACTAAGAAAAGACAAAAGCAAACTTAAGCAAGGTCTAAATCAGTGTGGAAAGACTTCATCCATTTGTTTTTTTTTTTTGGTTTTTTTTTTTTACGAGACAGGGTTTCTCTGTTTTGGAGGCTGTCGGTCCAGCCTGGCCTCAAACTCACAGAGATCTGCCTGCCTCTGCCTCCCGAGTGCTGGGATTAAAGGCGTGCAGCACCAATGCCCGGTGAGTTCATCCATTTGTATCAGTTGTTTGGCTAAGGTAAATGTTGGGTACAGTATTGTTGCTAGGAGATGTTTACATAATTAGCTCCTCACGATTATCAGTCATTCCCTCATCTATTTCATATCCATATCCTAGAGCTCTTCTGTGCAGCCTCCTGTATTTCTTCAGACAGATGAACTCATGAACTCAGTGAGGCTGAATCTTTTGTTCAAAGGATGTGTTTGTCACTTCCCAGATATTGGACATGCTTGTTATGTGTTTTTTTTTCAAGGAAACGAAAGGCCTGCCTTTGAGGGAAAAAATTGTTTTCCAATTTCTTTACAGTTTTCGTGCATGGCTAAGGAAAGATACAGAATGTTAGTTCAGTTTCTTTAGTAACAGGCTAGCTCCCTCTAGCGGTCAGTTTCCGAATTTTAGCAGCATTCCCTTTTAAAAACAGTCATTTCACACAGAAAAGCTTAGACTCTAAATCTTAGAGGAAAATGACTGTGGATGAATTTTGGTAAAAGCTATTTTAGCAAACATTACATTTAATTTCTATTTTAATTACTGGCTTTTGTACCTAGAGCTAGATTTACCAAATAAAAAATGGTAGGACTCCCAGGAATTTTAAACTTCAGATTAAAAAAAAAAATGGGGGCTGAAAAATGCCTCGATACACTAATCTGACCCCCATACTTATATATTTTATGGAAATTTTATTTATATATTTAGGAAATTAGGAATCTAAAGATCAAAATCCAACTCTACGCCATTGTTACTGACACCATAGTTTGCCATTGGCTGTGCAAGCCAAAGATTCCTGAAAATTAGCAAAAGTTGTCCCTCAGAGAGGGCACTCAGGTTTGGGCTCCAGGGATGCCCAGGGTTGTGTCTTCACATAACCCGGTAAAATGATCTAACATGCACTCTCCATTTACAAGAGGCAACTTTCGCTCCCTCACCGAATCCTCCTCTCCCCATCTTCAACCTGCTTGTCAGGTAAGGAATTAGCACTCAGCATCCTTTCTCCCAGAACACACAGCCACTGAAAGGGTAACAAAACTTTGTCTCACAGTCAGAGCCCAGGTTTCATGCCTTTACCCCAAAAGAATCAGACCAAGCAGGGCTGAGTTTGTAGCCTGCTGGCAGCATGTTTACCTGACATGTGAGAAACTCTGGGTCCAGTTCCTGACACTATGTGAAACTAGATATGGAAAAGCCTAAGTTTAAGGTCATCCTCAGCTACCACACCAAGGGCTAGGCCAACCTGAGCTTCCAGAGACCATGCCTCGTATCACATAGGCATTCCCAAGGTGGACTGCTGCTTAGGATTATGGAAATAGCATGTGTCCTGATGGGGTCAGAATCTCCACAGACCAATTAAAGCAATATTTCTAAAGCTTTCCAAACAGTTCCAAAACTGAGAATGACTGTTCCAGGATGGAGACTGCTAAGCTGCTCTGTGAAGTGTCATAACATAAACATTTAATCTCTGTGGGCCATACAGTTTTCTGTTGCAATACACTAGCAGTTATGTCCTAGCATGGACAATACATAAATGAACACCAAAAATCAAACTTTGCAGAATTCTCAGATCATTGTATATTACTGTGCCTTTTACCTTTCCCGATTCCTTTCTTCATCCTACCCTCCCTCCCTCACTCTTTTTTTCCTACTCTTCCTTTGGTTCTTACCCCCTCTCTCCTTGAGTATTAGAGAGACCCCACCCCTCACCATGGAATCCAGGCTGACTTTTAACTTGTGATCCTCTCAAGTCCCGGGTTATAACTGTACTCCACTCTACTTGGCTCTTTTCAATCACTTTAAAATGTAAAACACACTCTTAGCTCTGGAGCAGGGCTTGGCTCTGGGGCCTTGCAGGTCAAGCCTGTCTACAGTCTGTTTTTGAGAGTAAGTCTGCTGACTTTCCCTTTCTATTTGGTTTTTCCTCTTGTAGAATCCCCACTACTTCTTCACAGACGATGAATTCCTGCAGGTTAACTCGAGCGACGCTCCATCATCCGTGGCAACCGGCTTCTCCCTTCAGTAACTGCCTGATCGTCTTTAGAGGTTCATTTAAAAAGCTAGGGATGTCATCATTTTGTACCCAGGAATGTGCATAAAGCCAATGTGTTACTGTAAAAAAAACCATTCTTTAGCCAAACACCCTGTTAAGGGTTTGCCTCTCACACAAAAATTATAGTAACTAGAAAGAGGAGGTCATGAATCCATTGTAAGGGCACATTAAGAACATTAAAAGACTCTGTGATGACCGGGCGTTGGTGGTGCATGCCTTTAATCCCAGCACTCGGGAGGCAGAGCCAGGCAGATCTCTGTGAGTTCGAGGCCAGCCTGGTCTACAGCGTGACTTCCAGGACAGCCTCCAAAACAATACAGAGAAACCCTGTCTCAAAAAAAAAAAAAACAACAACAACAAAAACCAAACAGAACCTGTGGGAACTTTTTGCCAACATATTTTATCATTTGGGAGTTTCACACAATGCACCCTGACCACACTCACTTCCCAGTCCTCCCAGCCCCACCCCTCACTCTTGTGACCTCCCTCAAGAAAAAGAACAGAAAAAAAACAAGTCCAATTTGTGTTGTCCCTATGCTCACTGGATCGCGGTCAATTCTCAGTGACCAGCCCCTTAAATAGAACTGAGTCCTTCCCGTGCCTCACTCCCACCAGAAACCATCAACCTTGGGGAGCTACACTTCAGCATCCCTGTCACGACTTTGGAGTTCTCGAAATGGCTTCCTGTCTAGACCGTTACTTTTGGGGGTAGGGTGGAGAGAGGCTGCCACAGAAGCTTTCTGTCTCTCATTCTCAACTGAGTCTGCAGTCGTCGATACAGCTGCAAAAGAAGTTCCTTGTCCTCTGTAACGCAGATCGACTTCCACATGCTTTCTGGCAACAATAGCACCAACTGCTGACATCCACAAGGCCTCCGACAACAGCACAGACCACAGACCTCAGCATAGTCTCTGGCAGCAATACAGACCACAGACGTCAACATGGTTTTTGGTAACGGCCAGACCATGGATATCCACACAGCCCCCAGCCACAGCAGAACCACAGACATCAGCGTGACAGAACCTGGACCTCCACATAGCCTCGGGTCTAATCCAGACTGAACCATCCTCCATCGGGGACACCCTGCCTTAGCTCAGAACCAGGAAGAGCATCCGGCCGGGCAGTGTGTGCAGGGTAGAGCCTGCATGAGCTCTGGGCTGCTGCACATCACCCTGCCAGTCGTGCTCATTGCTGGCATGCTCACCTGTCCCAGCAGCCTTTCCCCACACCTGTCTGTCACTGCCATCCCATCTCCGGTTCCCACTCTCCACCGCACACTTGCTGCTCTCTTCCTCCATCTCCCCACCTCTCCATCACGTATTTGTTCATGGAAGTGGCATTGCAAAATGGCAGTGCATTTTTGGTCCAAATAGATTTCACACTTATTGCAATTAGTCATTGGTCTAGTTCAAGGTTTCTGGCTTTTGAGGCACTATAAATACGGGACCATCATCATGACTTGCCTCGGATATCCTGCTATTGTCCAGAGTTAGGGTGGCTAGCACCATTGGCAGGATGTACTGGGGCAAAAAAAAAGTCTATGAACTGTGGGACATGCTAGAGTTTGTGATACTCCTTCCAGGCACAGATATGCAGTGGTGAGGAGGAAAAGGAGGAGGAATAGAGGGTGTGTGAGGTGGAGAGTTGGGACTGGAGATGTGGGGCGGTGTCAGGGCAGGCCCTGCTCAGCAACGTCACGTGATTTATCTGCTGCAGCTGCACTCTCGTCCACGCACCAAGTCCCCATGTCTGCTTCTTCAGGATGCCTGGAGCATACTTGAATGTTTATCTAAATTTACATCTCCGCTCATTCCCTACAAAGTGGTAAATGTGATGATCATTTAAGTCTAGAATGCCCCTCAGTGGGTCCCAACCCACAGGAAAGCATATGAAAAGAAAATGGAGATATTTACCTTGGATGTTTTGGAGAGTTTCCTAATATTTTATTAGTATAGTGATACTTAATAATAAATAATATGATAACTTATGTAATGATTTACATTTCAAATGATAGATTTTTTATAAAAGGAAGATGGTTTCTTAATCTGTACCAAAAATTCATAGCATCCCAGATAAAGGGTAAATTCAAAATGGCTTTGGAGTTAACTTTTACCATTTTGTCATGGCCTCCTAACTTTTGAAGAACAAGCTAATAGGAAGCAGAGAAGATGTTAAAGTGAGGATTCTCAGAGGGGATCATGGTCCTATAGCAGCACAAGTACTAATTGCCACACAGCTCATTGAGGCCCTCATCTCTTGCTCATTGCAGAGGAAGAGTAGGACTCTCTGGCCACAGTCCTGGCTGGGTAGTCGACCTGCCGACAGAGCCTTCTAAGCCTTGCTTCCCTAGCCTTTCAGCCTTCGTAGCTTGTGCTTGTGCACTAGGATCCCTGGCTTCACTCAAGCAGGGTGGGCTTTCCTCCTTCCCCTTAGTGTGTGTTTACACATCCCACATGTGGCCCCTGACAAGACTAGCCTGCACAGTCTATCTGAATGTGTCTTCAGCAGGACCTGGAGCTTGGCAGATCTGAGCCTTCTCCATGTTCTCAAGATCTGACTTCACCTATTCTCACTCCCCCTCCTCTTTTTCTCTATCTCTTACAGTTTCACAAAGTACCTTGAGCTAGCTCGGTAGCCTGTGTGGGTTTGAATATGTGAGTCTCATGCCTTGACATCCTAAGCATCCAAGAAGCTGGTGGCATTATAGACATGTTGTCCCCAGGCCTGGTGTCATCTATCTCTTCTTTTAGTAACTCTTTCTTCTCTGCTTCTGAGGCTTCCACTACCCCCACCCTACCCCTCACCCCCCACCCTATTGCTAGACTGGAACTAAGCATCTCATGCCTGAAAGTGCAGGCCCCCAATGCTGTGCGGCTCCTTCCAGAGCTGATAATCAGCTTTTCTCAGCTATTAGCATGTATTTCCCGGGGGTGGGGGGCTCTGTCCTCTTCTAACCACACAGGGGTTCGGGGACTGTTTGTTAACTAGGTCCCTGTAGACCACAGGTTTCTAAGGCTTCTAGAGAACCCATTTCACAGATGAAAAATATGACTATCAAAGACCCTTTCCTCTTGGGGAAGTTGATGACTTCTCTTTTTAAACTTTTTTGGGTTTTTTTGTTTTTCAAGCAAAATCTCACTATGTATCTCTGGAACACCTTGACCTAGCAATCCTCCTGCCTCTGTCTCCTGGGTTATGGGAGAGCACCACCATGCCTGGCAATCTGTTCTAGACCCACCTCAGGCATGAAATGATGAGAGAATCCATATGAGACCATGTCTGTTCAAAGTTAATGGCGACACAAACAGAATAGTGAGTGGTTTAAAAGCAACTGGAGAGACGGCTCAGCAGTTAAGAGTGCTTGCTGTCCTTGCAGAGGACCTGAGTTTGGTTCCCAGCTGCCATGATGGGTAGCAACCACCGGGAACTCCAGATCCAGGGGGCTCAACTTTTTTTTTCATTTTTTTAAATTAGAAACAAGCTTCCTTCATGTCAATCCCAGCTCCCTCACCCTCCCTAAACTCTTCTTTTGCTGTTGTTTGTATTGTTTTTGTCTTTGTTTTAAGACATGGTCTTACTCACTACAGAGTGAGACCATGGCTCTTAACTCATTAGGTAGACCAGATTGTGAGAGAACTCACAGAGACCCACCTGTCTCTGCCTCTTGAGTGCTGAGACTAAAGGTGTGTGCCACCGTATAGTCCCCCTGTGCATGTGAGTATACCCACACAGAGACACATCGTTTTTGTTTTGCTTTGTTTTGTTTTGTTGTTTTGTTTTTTGAGATAGGGTCCTTCTATGTTGCCCTAGCTTTCCTGGAGCTTGCTTCATAGGTCAGGTTGGCCTCAAACTCACAGAGAACCATCTGCCTCTGCTTCCCAAGTGCTGGGATTAAAGGTGTATGCCACCATGACGTGGCCAGAGATATATAATTTTAAATAAATCTTTTAAAAAACAAGCTGATAATGGAAAGACATATAAAATGTCCCTGTATGTAGAAGGGTGTGTTGAAATGGATGCTTCCTGTACCTGCCTGCTTAGACACTGATGCAAGAATTCTCTTAGAGGTGTGTTTCAGCATTAATTGATGGATAATCACATATCTCTTGAACACTAGTAGATGCAAATAAATTACTCTGTAAAGTAATATTATCAACTTATATCCCTACCATGTGAGTATGGTGGTATTTAATCCTAGGACTCAGAAGGCCAAGGCAGGAGCATCTCAGTTCAAGATCAGCCTGGATGGCACAGGAAAACCCTCATTTTTCATTATCTGACAGCATTAAGTGGTGTTAAACTTTAAGTTTTCATCCTAGGGCCAACAAGATGGCTCAGTGGGTAAAAGGCTCTTACCACAGAAGCCTGGTGACCTGAGTTTGAGCTCCAGAACCCACATGCAGTGGGAGCAGAGCCTCATCCCACAAAAATAACCCCACCACCAGGGTCTCTCTATGTAGCCAGGGTTGGACTGGCTCCCATTAAGTAGACCAGGATGGCCTTGAACGCATAGAGATCTGCCTGCATGTACCTCCCATGTGCCACCATGCCAGGCACAAAGTTGTCCTCTGACCTCTGTGTGTATACAATGGCACATTAACCCCAAGAGACAGAGACAGAGACAGATACACACAGAAAGAAAGAGAGACAGAGAGAGAGAGAACTCTCTTTTAAAATGTTCCTATGATAAACCCTACTTGGTAATGTCCATAATAAGCTAGTTTCAAATACATTTTCCTATCATTTTTATTAAATTGGACTGCACAAATTTAAAATAAATGCACTATTAATCTTATAAGATCAGAAAAGCTTTTATTCTCTGTAACTTTTTTCTAGAAATCTGTGCCTTAGATTTTCTTGAGGATAGATAGATAGATAGATACATAAATAGATACATAGATAGATGTCAAAATTGTGATCCTCCTGCCTTGCCTCCAGAGTACAATTAAACATATACACCATCACATCCACATTCCTACCTTGAAATTCAGTAGCACTTGTCTAAAAATCAGGATGATCATAGTGTTATTATTTTATAATTAATTTTCATAAATGACTACCACTGTTCAGATTTTCTCTTTCTCCTTTGAGTCTTTTTGGAAATTTTCTACATAGTTGCCAACTTGTCTGTGTCTTGACATTGGCTGGCACAAAGTTACTACTGTATGAGACTTCCTGGGGACGGAGCCTGCAATGTGCTTTGCCCACGGGTTTGGAAGGGATGCTTTTTTTTTTTTTTTTTGCTTCCCTTTTTTTATTTTATTTTTTAATTATTTATTTTTAAATTTAAATTAGAAACAAGGTTGCTTTACAAGTCAGTTCCAGGTTCCTCTCCCTTTCCCTCCCCTCCTCCCGTGCCTCCCCCCAGGAAAGGATGCTCTTACAGTGAGAGAAAGGAATAGAAGAAACCAATATTGGACAGAGGAACAGGATGAGATGCTGTGCTGGGCAAATGACAGTGCTACCTGACTCCACAGGAGCTCAGGTGTTACACTGGCCCTTTGGTATTGTCCTGAGTCAGCCATGGGCTGCATCCTCCAGGGACATTGCTGAGGCAGCTCCTGTGGCTCAGGAAATCCCAGAAGATGCCAAACTAAAATCGTCTGTGGCCAGCACTCTGGAGGCTAGGAATAAGATTTTCTCGGTGAGGGAAGGTGAGGGTGCCACAATGCTTTTCACAAAAGGCACACCCTTTCAGCTGCTCAACTCAGACCTGGGCAAGAATGTACACCCTTTCAGACCTAAGACAGTCTAGAAGAATGAGGTTCTTGAGACAGACAAGCCACAGCCTCTCCCACAGCAGCTGGCCTTTGGAGCTGCAGTCTGCCTCACCGTCCCCGTCCCCCCCCCCGCCCCCCCCTCCACCTGCTCTGGATCCTTCAACGCCCTCACCCAGTACATATGCTGTCCTACTCAGGCCAGGGTTAGCACACTACCTCCTAGAAGTGTTTCACCCTGCAAGGGACCATGCCATTTGTACTCCCACCAAGGTGACTCCACTTTCTGACACACAGAGACTACATAACCTGGAAGACAAAGCTCCTAGAGCATGCCGCGTAGGCCTGCAGATCCCAGGATTGTGGAAAACACTGTTTCACTTGGTGAGACTTGGGAATGATGGAGGCAATGACTCTTAGTCACCAGGCCTGGGGACTCTTCATTGTATCTGTAGCTCTGGGTAGATTTTCACACCTAACATACAGAAGTGTCCTGGATGATGGCTGCTCATCCATTTATAGTACCTTGTGCAATGGCACTTCAGCCAAGCCTTTAACAGTGGGTCCCAACACTCATCACCATAATTATGGGATGTAATACCTGACACTGCTGCCAGCAGACTGGATATTTGGTTGTGTAAATTGCTAGATATACAGTACTGCATAACAAAGTACTTCCAGACTTACTGGTGTCAAGTGGCATTTGTAACTCCATAGTTGCTGTGGATCAGGAATCCAGCTGTGGCTTAATGGAGTCCTGTAACTCAGCACCTGTCACAGTGCAAGGTGCCCACTGTGGTCTGCAAATGCAGGAGGATCTGTTTCCAGGCAAGGCAATGGATGCTTTCTCAATACTCTGTGGATCCCACACGGTTTCCAGGTTGGCAGTCAGAAATGCAAATTCTTCCTGACTCTGGGGGACATGGGAAATTCCTCCGATTCATTTCCTATGGTTCCCATCCCCTTGTCAGGCTCAGCAAAGAGAGTTGAGGAGCCTCTGCAGGCTCTGGCCTCTGCACAGCTCTCTCCTCTTGGTGCTCTGTGCTATGGGTTCCAGCTATCTTCTCATCAACAGATTCAATTCTGTCCCCCAGATAGGAAGCCTGCTGTCTCTGCCGGCTTCCATGCACATAAGCGAGAGCCATTCCAGACACAATCACAGTGGAAGGAAACAGTTCAAGACTTGCAGGAAGAAATGGAATCAATAAAGATAACACAAACTGAGGAAAATCTAGAATTGAAAAATGTAGAAACTTGAAAAGGAACCTCATAAGTAACTCTCATCAATAGAATAAAAGAGATAGAAGAGAGAGTCTCAAGCACTGAAGACCCTATATAAGAAAAGGATACCTTGATCAAAGAAATAGTAATTTTTTAAAACCCCAGGTACAAAACAGGAAATCTGGGACACTACGAAAAGACCAAATCTATAAATAACAGGAACAGAAAAAGGAGAGGCAGAGGTTAAAGGTACAGAAAATATTTTCAACAAAATCATAGAAGAAAATTTCCCTAACCTAAAGAAGAATATGACTACCAAGGTACAAGAAGAGTATAGAACACAAAAGAGACTGGAACATAAAAGTCATTCCATGACACATATTAATAAAAACATAAAATGTACAGAAAAAAGAAAGAATATTAAAAGCTGAAAGGGAAAAAGACTGAGTGACATATAAAGACAGACCTATTAAAATAACACCTGACTTCTCAGTGGAGACTCTAAAACCCAGAAGGTATTCTAAAAGTAAGGTGTTCCACATATTCTTTTTTAAAATAATTATTTTTTTATTTAGGTTAGAAACAATCTTGTTTCACATGTCAATCGCAGCTCCCTCTCCCTCCCCACCAGGTCCCCCAGTCTCCCACCCAATCTCCACTCCGATCCCCAGGGAGGGTGAGGCCCTCCATGGTGGATCTCGAGAGTCTATCATATCATACAGGGCAGGGCCTAGACCCTCCCCCAAGAGTCCAGGCTGAGAGAGCCTCCCTCATTGTGGCATGGACACTCAAAGTCTATTTGTACTCCAAGGATAAGTACTACTCATGGCCCCATAGATTACCTAGGCCTCCTCAATGACACCCACATTCAGGGGGTCTGGGTCAGTCTAATGCATTACACAGCCATCAATCTGGGGTCCAAGAGCTCCCCTTGTCCAGGTCAACTGTTTCTGTGGATTAAATCAGCCCAGTCTTAACTCCTTTGCCCATTAATTCTCTCTTTCAGTTGCTGGATTCCAGGAGTTCAGTTCAGTGTTTGTCTGTGGGTATCTGCCTCTGCTTTCATCAGTTGCTGGATGAAGGTCTATTTCCCAGACTCACTGGCAGTGGGACTGTAGGCTGGCATTCCCCTGATTCATGTCTAAAATCCATAAATCGGTGAATACATACCATGTTTCTCTTTTTGTGACTGTGTTACCTCACTCAGGATGGTTTCTTCTAGTACAATCCATTTGCCTGCAAATTTCAAGATTACATTGATGTTTTCCATTGAATAGTGGAAATAGTACTCCATTGTGTAAATGTACCACATTTTTTCTCTATCCACTCTTCCAGTTGAGGGGCATCTAGGTTGATTCCAAGTTCTGGCTATTACAAATAATGCTTCTATGAACATAGTGGAACAGACATCCTTGTTGTATAAATGTGCATCTTTTGGGTATATGCCTAAGAGTGGGGTTGCTGGGTCTTGTGGTAGGTTTATTCCCAATTTTCTGAGGAAACTCCATACTAATTTCCAAAGTGGCTGTAAAAGTCAGTACTTGTAGTAGTTTTCCCTTTTCTCCACATCCTCTCCAGCATAAATTGTCATTGGTGTTTTTGATTTTAGCCATTCTGACAGGAGTGAAATGGTATCTCAGATTTGTTTTGATTTGCATTTCCCAGATGGCTAGGGATGTTGAGCACTTTCTCCAGTGTCTCTCAGCTATTTTAGACTCCTCTACTGAAAATTCTCTATTTAGTTCTGTACCCCGATTTTTTATTGGATCCTTTGGTGTTTTGGAGACTTGCCTCTTGAGTTCTTTGTAAATTTTTGGAGATCAGCCTTCTGTCAGATGAGGGGTTAGTGAATATCTTTTCCCAATCTGTGGGTTGCCTTTTTGTCTTGCTGACTGTATCCTTTGCCTTACAGAAGCTTCTTCAGTTTCAGGAGGTCCCATTTATTAATTGTCTATCTTAGTGTCTATGCTACTGGAGATATGTTCACGAAGCAGGCTCCTGTACCAATTTGTTTAAGGGTGCCTCCCAGTCTCTCTTCTAACACGTTCAATGTGGCTGGATTTATATTTATTTGATCCATTTGGACTTAAGTTTTGTGCATGGCAATAGACATGGATCTATCTGCAGTCTTCTACATGCCAGCATCCAGTTATGCCAGCACCATTTATTGAAAATGCTTTCTTTTTTTCCATTGCATATTTTTAGATTCTTTGTCAAAGATC